GAGGAGGGAGCCAGGTATAGGGTAGAACCCAGTACAAGGAAACAGGAACCTCTTCCTAGATTGTGTGGGGTGTGAAAAATACACAAAATACATCAATTATTTTATATATGAAGATTCACTTATATTTTAGAGATCTGAGTGCTATTTCAAAAAGCTAAGAAAAAAATAAAAGCTAAATTTGAGAATACTGTGAAGGGGCGGACATACAAAAAGAGTAATGTATGCCACAATCCATGACGTCGTATGAAGACTCATCATATGAGGGAGTTTAATGATATTCCTAAAACTTCTCTGGTACACGTGTTTCCATCTTATCTTTACTGAGCACTCCCACCCAATCTACATTGGCATTTCCCGTAATTGGGAGCTTTATTTCATTATGTGATGCAATCAATGTATTTTGCCAAAAAATGAATTTTCTCAAAAGCAAAGGCAGCATTTATGGAACCCGTCCTCGACCCGTTATCTACCCATCCTCCCACGAATCGATTGAGCACAGCAATATGGCTCAATCCTCACCTGAGGCTGGACTCATAGAAGGTTGAAAAGTCTATCTGTACAATATCTAGCACATGTGTCCGGTACACGTGTTTCAATTTTACCATTACTGAGCACAATCCACATTGGCATTTCCTGTAATTGGGAGCATTATTTCATTATGTGATACAATCAATGTATTTTGCCAATGAATAGTATTTATGGAACACATCCCACTACTCGTCATCCACCCATCCTCCCACGAATCGATTGAGCACCACAATCTGGCACAATCCTCACCCAAAGCTGGACTCATAGAAGGTGTAAAGTCTGAAACATGAAACGTCTATCTGTATGATATCTAGCTCTTCTAACTGCCTAGGGGACCCAAAATACCACCATCATCAAAAGTGATGCATGTAGTCGAAACGTTTGCTTCGGATTTTTGGCCTTTATATGGTACTTGACGTCCCAATAAATTGTCCCACCGGTGTTTTCAGACTGTAGACACAGTTGGCATCCTGTTGAGGATTTATTACTGAATTCTCGTTACTTGACTTGAAGTGAAAGAATTTTTATTCACCTCAATTAGGCTAATATTGGCTCAGCCTTGACTCTTCCTCAGATGAATCTCTTAGAAGGTTAGCTGTCCCCGAGGACGTCTTGTCTTTTGAAGACGATGTAAGTTGGGGATTTTAATAAAAGACTTAAAGGTGTCACTGGAGGGGAAATATGATTCAGCAGAATCTGCTTCCTGCCGCTGCGCCTCGGGGAGAGGAAAAGAGACAGAACGCTCTTTGAGGACGATGTTAGTCAGCAAAGTTTTTTTTGTTCATTGACAAGAAGAGAACATCTGGCACCGGAGTTGCTTTGCTTTGGCATAACTGTTTTTTAAGTTACAAGCTGTTAGGGGTCCGAAACCCCCGGAGTACCAAAGAACGTCCATGTTTCTTCATTATGCATTCATACCGCTGTGTGATTGGCCCTCAATAGCACAATAGACACAAAGCCATTTTTTTCTTGATGTGCTGCAAAGCTGAGTTTGTTTTACTACATTCTGAAAGTTTAAAAAATTAGCCATCTTACCCTTAATGATTATTAAAAGAGGAGTGAAGCCAACCCTTTGGGTCAAATTAGGCGATTTATAAAAATGTTTAAAAAGTGTCACCCAACTTTTCCAATTTAATACAATTAGAAAAATGTGTGAAATTGTTTCAAGTTGTGTCAACCTTGTTTGACAGTTATAAATAGATCCCTTATTTGGGAAGGAAGGGAAAGAGGAAGGGAGTTTTGCCTAAGCAGCGTAAAGATCACAACTGAGAATTTCCACTTTGCAACATTGGTCAAAATGATCCTTCCTTGTCCCTACTTGTTGAGTGTCATATTCTATAGATATATGTTTACGAACTAAGGTAAGGTTATCGCCTATTTGTACAGAATATATTCAGACAGAAGTCTGTTTTTCACAGGCTCAGGATCCAGTGTATAATTGTACTATGGTTACAGTAATATTTTACACAGAAATTAATAGAATTTTAGAGTCACAGAAGAAAATAGAACATGAACTTTGGGATAAGCAAATATTGTCCTCCATAAGAGAGTCATGAGTATTGTTCCTTGACACTTGGTGAGCTTTGTGTATTTCTTCCAGATCTGTGCAGCAATCCAGTGTGACACTTGGAGCTTCCTGTAATAAAGAACGGTCACTGCTGCTCTCTCCCCTTGTGCAGGGTGACTGGTCTTGTCTCCGCCCCCTCCTGTAATAAAGACCGGTCACTGTTGCTCTCTCCCCTTGTGCAGGGTGACTGGTTTTGTCTCCGCCCCCTCCTGTAATAAAGACCGGTCACTGCTGTTCTCTCCTTGTGCAGGGTGACTGGTCTTGTCTCCACCCCCCTCCTGTAGTTATCTGCAGGCAGCCTGTAGTGGGGGGGCGCTTGCTGGTCTTCTGTATAGGCTATGTTCATCAGAGTGATGAGGTCACTCTGAGTTAAGGCTGAGCCAATATTAGCCTAATTGATGTCACATCTACTTTTACAAAAGGTAATATCTGGGTAGGTAACGGCATTTAGTGCACACAAAGTGGATTTCTATTCATTGTGGCTATTGAGGAATTTATTTGAGGACCCATTTAGACTTCTTTGTTGCAGTAATAGGTAATATGCATTGCTACAGTGCAATGTCATTGATTGTGAATGAATGGCATCCCAACGCATTAAGGCAACACACGGTAGACAGGTAGTGCTATGCAGTGTGTTGCATTATTTTAAAAAAAGGGTCACATCCAATTGTTGGCACATCAGCTGCATTGGCAAGCCATTCTTACTACTACTAGCTTTAATAAAAAGTTATTTTTTTTTTTTTGGTCATAGTTGCTGTTTGAGATTTGCCCCTACTTCCCCACCTAGAGAAACTGATGTTACTGGGACATTACGTGACAGGAAAGTTCTCTAATGGAGCCCCGGACATTAATAACAACTCAACAAAGGTTCTAATCTTTCCCCATGCTACGCAAGCCTAAAAGAATTTTCAACAGGATAACTTGAACCATTTATGCATTTCTCCCAGGTTTCTGAGATGAGAAGAGATACAGGGACCCTTTCCAGTACAATGGATTTAGGTAATAGACACGCCCCTGCCACAACCCCAGTTATAGGGACCATTAAGAATGTATATGCCAAAATGATTGGTTAGTTAGCATCTTCTTCATCATCACTTTTCCTTTATACCGGCTTTTCAAAATAGTGAGCAAGATAATTATGAGATGAGATGAAGGTTGTAGTGCAGAATAACAAGTTTCGTAGTTAAATAAGTTTCATAGATATCTGTACATCAGACCAAAAAGAGGGACAACTGAGGAGGAAAGAGGGACAGAGGGATTTGGTTCTAATAGAGGGATAGTTCCTCCAAATGGGGTACAGTCAGGAGGTAGGACTTATATACTGTTGTACCTTTTAAAACGGCGGAGTGATGGACATTTATTTCTACAATGCTGTTCATAAACGTCATTGCAGAAATCACCGTTGGACGGCCGCTATGCCCGGTAATGACTGATCCAAGTAGCTCTGTAATTGTTGTGAGGACAATTCACAGGTGAAAACAGTGTAGTGTTTGTATGAGAGCCCACCCCTATCTCTTAAAATAAAGGAGGAGGTACTAATGAATGAATTCACCAAATCACATTACAGATCACAGGTAGCAGCAGGTTGTGGGATCATTTTTAACACTTTCAACCCCTATACATCTGATCCCCATCTTGTCTCTATATGTGACCTTTATATTAACCCTTCATATTCCTTATCCTGCACATTTACCCCCTCATCTCTATTCCGCCCCTGTATGTGACCTGTACGTTAACCCCATTCCCCTCCTGCTCCCTCTGTCTATGACCTGTGCATATACTGATGCACTGCATCTGGTCCATACTCCATGTTTTAACCACCTCAATGCCAGCATGTTCTTTTTTTAATTTCCAAAAAGTTGTGGCTAAAAATGAGATCACCTTGGACTGTCTCTTTTCCAAACGAGGGGTCGTTTCGGAGGGTGTTTGTACTACCCAGCCATTTGTTTTTGTATGTTTGATATCAGAAAGTAAGGGAGATGGCTATTGTTGAAAATGCTTGGTCTCTGTTCCTTTATATAGAAAAAAATAAAATAAAATTAAAATTGTGGTGATTAAATACCACCAAAGGAAACCTCTGTAGAAAAAAAATGGTATAAAATGTATTTGGATACAGTGTCTCATGGCCGAGTAATTGTTAGCCAATCACAAAGCACTGAAAACTGGCCGGGAAATGAAGGGGTATAACAAGCTGGTTCTCAAGTGGTTAAAGGAATGTAAAATGTTTTTTAATTCTTTCATGTTTTAGTTTCTCCGTCCCATTGCTGACCTCACACTTGAAGGTGTATTTAAGGAATGTCGGCTGTGTCATGATATCACATTTTGGAAGCCTGTAACATTGTTTTGTCCTCGGTAACCCAGTCAGTTTTTAAAACCAGCTCTGGATCATTCTTCATCTGGCTCTTCAAAAAAAAAAAAAAACTTCAAATTTCTGAAAATCAAATGTTACAGAATGGCAGCGTGAGCCTAAATGACCTTCTATAAAACCACGAATAGGAAATATTTGGAGTTTTCTAACAGCGATATAAAAAGAGACTTTGTATCCGAGCGGTCTTCGTTTTACATGCAAAGAATTTCAGCTCTTATCGGAAAAAAAACACCAAAGTAGAAGCTCTACTTGTAAGTCTGCTACCCAGCATCGTAGACGTATTTAATGGGCTCACACCTCTTGGCATCTTTGGCACTGGCACTGTTCAGCACTGGCATACCAGGAATAAAGAGCATTTTTGTAAACCTACGTCACGGGTACATAAAATCAACCTCTGAAGACTGCCATGGCCTGTAGAGTTGACCCAGCTTCTGAAGGTTGACAAATGTTTGGCACGTGTTGAAAAATATCTATTGGCATCATTTCTACCAGTATGGTGATACTGCCAGTCCTCCCCATTGTCCATGGCTATGGGACCTAGACTGTCTCCTGGGATATATTACTCTTGCTCCGAGGAATAACGTCTTTGTGTTTCGTCGGGCAGGGTGGCGCCACTGGTGTCTCTACAGGCAAGCCTTGCTGCTGATAGCCATAATTAATTTTGCCGCAAGGAAAGTGGCGAAGCCTAAACAGAGGCACTTCCTGAACATTTGAAGTCAGTGTGGATGGCTCTAGTAAAACAGGGGAGCCTGGAAGTCTACTGGCCGTCACCCTAGGGGCAATGGGACAGCTTCCCTCATTAACTGTGTTCTGGTTCTCAGGGACTGGTTGCTCAGCAGGAGAAATGGTTTTGTCTACCGCTTTCCCTGTAAACCACGAACCATACGTGGGATTCCAAAGATTTGTAGGTTTGTTTCTGGATCCTCTGGCGTTGTGAAGCTCCGTTGGTGGGTTAGCTTGAGCAAAGACCAGGTTGTCCTGTCCGCCTTCCGAGACTGGTCTAGGTTCTGTATGCCCTTTTGGTTCAGCGTGAACTTTGTTGGGGACTTTTCTAATGGGTGGAATGGGAGGCGGAGAGTGGTGCTTGCGTTTGTCTTCTTTCCCTGGTTTTTCAGGGGTCACCAAGAGTGGCGGGATCACATCTGGGTCTTCTGGTCTAGTTGGAACCTTTTCTTCTTCTTCAACCAAAGGTCCGTATTCCACAGGAAGAGGCGTGTTTATAACATCAGGATCCTGTAGGAAATAAACCAAATAATAGCAGTGAACAAAGCAACGCCTGGCCATTTTAGGTACAGAGAGCTAATAAAACAGCTTTTGATACGACTGGTCCATATCAACCATTATTTCAGACAGGCTACAGAAGTTTTTTTGGGAGAGAAAATAATCAAAGATATGAACGTGTTACCAACGTATATTGTAGCTTCTCATCCTTTCTCACAATCTGTTTTTACTCAACTTATTAAATTGCTTGTGTTCTAATATTCTAATAGATCATCTCACCTTAGCCTGACTCCCCTGCCCCCCCCGCGGGGAACATTTGAAAGCTCTCCAGCCCAAAGCCCTTTACTATTGCCTATTCTAACTATGTGTTTGAAGTCCATGCTTAAAAACAAAGCCTCCTTTATCAAATGTCTGAAGGAGGAAATGCAACTCATAAAATAATGAGGCGATGTCAGTGCGGATCGCACAGAGACAAACTACGGGTCTGCTCATCCCATTAATCACAAATATTTACGAATAATTCGGATTGATTGTCCTGGAAATGTCCAGCTTCTGCAAATCATAATACTAGTGAATCTGACAAACTGTTTGCTGCACAGTAATCGCGCTCTCTTCTTTATGTTGGTATTTAATTTTCTGATAAGCGCAGTCAATTTTTAGGAGGCAGATATTACTTTGTATTATTGACTCGTCCGGTGTTAAGGTTTTTCCTGCAGGGAGTTGGAAAGCGAATGATAAAATGTAACTGCTCAGTGACCGGGCCCGATGGAAGCAGCAAGCTGACGGATTTTCATTTTATTCAATTGTTTACTCTGGCAGTCATAGAAGCAGGTGTGTTAAGGTGCTCTTTATACTGTCCTGCTCTATGAATTGCCCTGCCCATGTGCACCTTACTTATGCTAGGAATAAACTGATTTGACTGGGCACATTATTTATTTTATAGAGGTATGTAAAACAGAGCATACACGTGGAATAAAGGTCCATATACAGTATGTGGGGAAACATGGAGGCAAAGAAGGAGACATCTGGCTTTTATTCCTATCAGAAACTGCATGAAATTACTCTGTTCTTCTAGTTAGTTTTGGGGGTTTCTCCAGCTGCACTCATTTCCTTCCACCACCCAAAACTTGCACCTAGTGTGTGCAACTTGACCTATTCCAGCTCTCCTGTACACTGTGGTTATGAGGGAACCTCCAAGACTCACTTATAGACCGCTGCCTCGCTCTTGTGGTATTCTGCTCATTAAATGCACATGTGGGCACTCCAGCAGTCTCCTAAATGACCTCAATGTCACATTCCTCCTAGTGATGCTACTGCTTCAGTAGATTCCTAAATGATCTCATTGTCACATCACTCCTACTGATTCTACTACTCCAATGGGCTCCTAAACTACCTTACTGTTACATCCCTGCTAATGATCCTACTACTGCTCCAGTAGAGTGCTACATCACCTCCGTATCATAACTCTCACGATGATTCTAATGCTTCAGTGAAGTCCCGAATCACCTATATGTCACATTCCTCCAACGGAGGCTATTGCTCCAGTGGAGTGCTAAATAATCTCCATGTCACAACCCTCCTAGTGATTCAACTGCTCCAGTGGACTCTGAAACAATCTCCATCTTACTTCACTCCGCCATGTCACACCCCTCCTAGTGATTTTACTGCGCCAGTGGACTCTGAAACGACCTCCATCTTGCTTCTCTCCTCCATATCACAACCCTCCTAGTGATTCGACTGCTCCAGTGGATTCTGAAACGACCTCCATCTTGCTTCTCTCCTCCATGTCACACCCCTCCTAGTATTCTACTGCTCCAGTGGACTCTGAAACGACCTCCATCTTGCTTCTCTCCTCCATGTCACACCCCTCCTAGTATTCTACTGCTCCAGTGGACTCTGAAACGACCTCCATCTTACTTCTCTCCTCCATGTGACACCCCTTCTAGTGATTCCACTGCTCCAGTGGACTCTGAAACAACCTCCATCTTGCTTCTCTCATTCATGTCACACCACTCATAGTGATGCTGCCCAATCAATTCCCACAGTCTCTTTAATGCTGGACACATCCCACACTTGTCACTTTGCCCACATAATGGGGATTATATAAATATATAATTAGATAAACTTTTTTCTCTCTAAAGGAGCAGAAATGATAAAATTTGGTTGGTACTTTGGTACCAACATATAACACAGAGCTGCCCCCAGAGGACCACTATGTCCAATGTCCTGAGCTCAGGCATGCCTGTGTTATCTTTTTTTTGTTTCTATGAATCACTATGTGCACAATTGGCAGATATTTGCTTTGTTCATGAATCCTGCAAAGCTAAATTCTATGCTTACATATTACGGTGAAGCAACACTGAGTTTAGCCCAAGGTTGCTGTTTTCACATCATTCACAGTCACGCTGTTTTATCCAGTATTGGTTTATTTTGTACATGTTTTTTTTACAGGGCCAATCACAAAGCGAAACCTTCTGCTAGAAGCTGGCATTCCATCTTCTATGTAAGTTCCAATTCAACATTAACAGTGGTGAATGAACTGGCCTACTGCACTTTGTATTGTTTTCATGTTAAAGGAAACCTTTCCTGAGATAAATGTGGAAACTGCCATTGGTGACCTGAAAATGCTAATTTCCTGTCTCAGAGTTCAATATTCTTAGGTACCGTGACCCAGCACAAACCTATGGAAAGTCATGATTCTAATCCAGGTAATTGATGAGTCATAAAATACTCAAGCTGTAAATCAGTATGACAGCCAGGCAACTATAACATCCAGAAAGTGAAGACAGCCTCCATGCTTTCTCAGTGCAGACTTCAATAAAAAATCTCATCATGTGACCAGCCAGTTCAAGATTATAATCCAGCTGCAGAAAGACTAACCAGTTGAACCCACAAAGAACCCCACCACCATCACCGCCCCTCACTTGAGATGACAGGTCTCTATTAAAACTGCAGTTTATGGCTTACAACTGGAAGGTTGTCTATTTTGGGGACAGATGCTCTGAGGATTGACAAGGGGAATCGGCTTCCCGAGTGGAAGAAAAAATCTTAAAATGTTCCAAAGATGGAGTAACTGTTGGACAGAGCAAACCATAAGGTAGGGAGTGAGAGGAATTGTCTCAATGGTGGATGCTGGCAAAGCCCCATATGGGTTACAAGTCTCAGGTGTACCCACCACTCCCCTGCAGCCATATCACAGCCACTGGACTCGAAACTAAAGGAACCCTGTACTGTTGAAGATTTGTTTGGCTGTGCTGCAGCTCTTATCTTAAATAAGTTCACCTAGCATAGTGTGATTACCACAGAGAATGGGGAAATGCTTCCTCCTGCCTGCAGCAGACTGATGACATCATCTCAGCCTAGGCAAAGTCGCCTGAATGGTGTTCAAGAACTAGACCATTTTGAAATACTGCTTCTGTATATTGTAACATATCAGCAATGTATACCTGCAGACTTCTAATGCTACTAAATGGTCCTCTTTAAATTTCTGTGCACAAAGCAGCTGCACTTTCCAACAGACTGCAAACTACGCACATTCTGCCCCCTCGCCCAGCTCCCAAAGGTCTGAAGACTAACGTACGCTGCAGGGCATGGCTCCCATTCACACTAGAGACCGCACTGCAAGGTTGCCTTCTCATATAAAGCATGTATATAGGCCTATAGGAGCGAGATGGAGGAATCACTACAAATGAGAAAGTTCTCTAGTAGTACTGCTGGGAACTCGGGGCGATTTATTTGTAATCTGGGAAATATGCAATTATCCAGCTCGGTGTTGTAACAATTGTTCTCAAAGGCCAACAAGGCAAGCGTTACTATTGCCTCGGTTTGAGCTATATCCCCAGTGCAGGCAAACAGGCCCATCACTTATACAGCCTGCATCTTGCCTTGACTTTTATTGTGTGCACAGAATGCTGTGTCAGGCTCTTAAGCCTTTATTCTTTCCTTTTTTTTTTCCCTTTACCATCTTATCTGGCATTGTGATTTTCTTTATTTCCTTGTCTTAAACCCTTTGTGTTGTCAGTCCGCTGCGCACTGGTTAATTAAACAACAGATTATACCGCCGGAGGTTAATGAAATGCTGGCATTAATTGATTTATAATTGTCTGTCCGCGACACACGTCTGTTGGCCGCCGGCCCGGGGCTGCAATCCTTTAGAGTCTCCGATAATCCAGAGCAGCTCTTAGAATGCACAATGATTCTGATCGCGGTCAGAGGGCCTGGCGCCTAATTATACGGGCGAGAAAAGTCTCCCTGAGTTTTGCAGCTTAGTGGAGACTTTTATCTGTAAATCCGGCCTCTTGATCAATATGATGGAGAGATTAAACGTGGGTATTATGCCGAGCATGAAATGTGCAGTTTTGCATGACCTACATATCAGAGGCTATTGGTCCAGCTTGCAGAAACATTAAAATAGACCTTCACAAGTCTGCTCAGATACATTACTAACATATCAGAATATACAGCAATAGAATATATTTTCAAAAAAGCTCCACTATCATTAAACAGCTATCCATGAGCTTCAAGCCAGTGACTAAGATGATGCCATCAGTCTGCTGCAGACAAGAGGAAGCATTTCCACAGTATCTTCTCCCCCAGTGATCAGACTGCAACACTGTCAGGAACTGCACAAGCACCTGGATTTACATGATTGTGTCATCTCTGAGCCAGCATCTTAGTCCAAGAAGTAAATGGTGACCCTGGGTGATGCCTGAATGAAGATGGCTCCATCCTTCTGGAGAGAGGAGCAGCTGAGGACGTTGTCAGGGGATGAACTGTGATCTCTGGAAGTCTAAACTGTACACATTACTTTGCATGCCTTTAACTTAATACAAAAAAAATCTGTTTCATTCCCGGGCCACTTCAAAATGTAATGGTGTGGAGGAACTTGAGTGACCTTCACAGAGCCCTAACCTCAACCCTAATGAACACCTTTGGGATGAATTAGAATGTGAAATGTGAGCCAGGTCTTCTCATCCAACATCAGTACCTGACTACCTGACCCCACAAAGGTTTTTGTGGCTGGATGAATACACTGTCCCACAGAAACGCTCCAAAATCTAGTGGAAAGCCTTCCCAGAAGAGTGGAGGTTGTTATAGCTGCAAGTGGGGGCAACTATATTAATGGCCATGGTTTTGGAATGCGATGCTAAACAATCTTACACAGGTGCCATGGTCATGTTCCCATTTAACTTTTGGCCACACGGTATATCTCATCTGCCCGTATAAGCCAAAAACAAACCCTTTAGAGGTTACTTCATTTACAGAGCTGTTCAAGAACCCAAATGAAAGATCAATGTAGACTTGCAAAACAATCAGAAACAAACTTTTAACTTTTAGGAATGAATCTCTTAGCCAATCATAAATCTTCTCCTGGCCAACTAGAAGTTGTGTCTTGGTTGTTCTGACTGCAATACACGGAATTCTATTTGCTACCGAGAGGTTATGAAAGATGTAGGGAGACAACTTCGGAGTTCCAGCTGTGGCCAAACTGCAAATCCCAACATGCCTGTGTCTTTGGGAGTCATGCCTGTAGCTGTCAGATTTCTGCAGTGGGACTCAGGGGTGTCCATAGCCTTTTTGTTGCCTGAAGCTTGAGGCGGCGCCGTGGATGGGCGGTGGTGCACGCCGCCTTTTGCTGGCTCTGCAGATACACATCTGCCTGCAGAACCCGGCCATTAGCAACCTGGGACGCTCTGGCCAGCATGCCGCCCAGCTTTGTGGTAACCGGTGACATCACTGGTTGCCAGGGGCTGCGTGGGATGCCGGCTACAGCGTCCCAGGTTGCTAAGAGCTGGACAGGTATTTGTGTATGGCCCTTACACATCTCCCCATCTGGCTCTAAGCACTCTGGGACGCTCTGGCGGGAAAGGAGGTGGCAGGCAACAGCCTCAGACTGCTTCATTAAATGGACGGCTCGATGGAACTTGTAGTTCCACAACAGCTGGAGTGCCGCAGTTGCCCACCCCCGGGTTATGGCATTTTTTTCAGTTGTTGAATAAGTCCGCTCAGCTGGTTCCCACACATCACACATAAAAGCAAGAGATCTTCAGAAAAGAGAAAGAAAGCTCCGACATGAAGCTAAGATTTACTGGGCATGAGAAAGGTTCTTCTGATCCGGAGACACAATGCAGCAATGCAGACAATTGAGCAGAGACCCAGCACTTCTCATAGGCTCTCTGACACCAGCTTTATCCTAACCTGCAGCTAAAGCCTGATACTCAACACAATGTTCATCGGCGGGGGTCACCTTAATGATCCCGCCATTGATCTTCCATATAAAGTCCTGTCAGCTACTTCATTCTACCTATGAGGCGGCAGAGAGAATGCACGTCTAACCATCATTTCAGCAAATGAAATGGGCCAAGGGCAAAACTCATTTAAGCAGGCTTCCGCCACCTATGTGACACAATGATGAAAGAAAATCTATATTTTGTTTTCATCTCATTGTGAATAATCTAATGCGTGAGTGATGATGTTTTACATTCTTTTTTGTGTCCAGTCTGTATATACATTATATCAGGGGTAGCCAACCTCAGCAATGCAGCTGTGGTGAAACCACAAACCCGATCATGCCTTTGGAAGTCATACCTGTGACTGTCGAAGTCTTGCAATGCCTCATGGGGCTTGTAGTTCCACAACAGCTGGAGTGTGAGGGCAGCCAACCCTTGAACTATATGGTGTGAGGCAGTGGCGTCACTAGGGGGGTGGGGCCAGCACGTTGGTGACAACAATGGAGAGGTGACAACAAAATGACTGACAGTCATTTTGGTGTCACCCCCTCTGAAATGTCAGGCATTCCTTATCCCGCCTGTTGAGGGGACCTCCTCTCTCTGCCAGCGTCTATCACCAAGATGACCGTGCATTCGTTGTCACAGCGGGGTGTCATCCGGTACCCGCTCCGGGTGACACCCAGCCTTGGGGTGCCCCTGGTGTAAGACACTGACTGTCAGGGTTGGGGATGGTGTATATTTGTCCCCTAGATGTCTTACATACACCTGGTGAGGGGCCCCAGGGTTTATGGCTGATGGGGAGGAAACAAACTTTTGGTTTTCTAATTGTTTTGTTTTAATAAGCTCGATTCTGGGACCTGGAGCCCAGAGGGTTTGTAGAGTTTTGGGTGGTATAAAGCCTCCATTACCAGGTCCTTAACTTACCTGGTAGCCAGACCTCATCATTAGTCGCTTGGGGCTCACTCTCTCAGCTGCTGGGTGAAATGGCTGAGTGCTCACAGAACACTAAAGAGGTACATGTGCTGTCCATTTGTGTGGGGGAACTTTTTAAGGCATTAAATACTAGGCTTGTTGCACTCCTTACCGAAATGTCCCTTGTAGTGGGGGGGTGCTCGCAGTGACTGCGGATGGCGCTGCAAATATCAGCAAATTGTAGAAATGTCACCAGCACACCAGTCCTTTTAGGATAGCAAAAGCTTCATTAATTGAAGTTCTTTGTCATATGAACAAGCGCTTTCGGGGACCACACAGGGTCCCTTCAATGCTAAAGCCTGATGAAGGGACCCTCTGTGGTCATATGACAAAGAACTTCAATAAATAAAGCTTTTGCTATCATAAAAGGACTGGTGTGCTGGTGACATTTCTACAATTTGCGGTACTTATTAAGGCACACCCTGCTAGTCAGGAACTGGCCTGAGTTTAATTAGTAGAACCGACTAGCAGATTTCTTTCCTTTTTAGGCCTAATGTACAAAGCCCTCCTGCATTGAACTGTGTTTGTTTGCTGCCTTGCTGAATAAAATTGCAAGGCAAACCTGGATTGTTCCTGGGTGTCCCTGGCTTCTGTATGGTTTCCTGCTGTGATTACTAGTTGAACCTGTCCCCCTTATACTGGCCTGTGCAAGACTGAAGGGAAGGTCGGTGTTAGCAGCTTGTGTTTGCTGTGCACTCTTTGCGCACATTCCTGCAGTACCTGTGTGCAGTAGTCAATTCTTTCCAGGATCATTGAAAAAGGTGGACGGTCTTCTGGCTGGTGCTGCCAGCACTGCGTCATGATACGGTAGCTGCAGTGCAAAAAAAAAAAGATAAATCAACAGAATTCTGCGACATTCTGACACATTAAAGCCCAACTCCACGCTATTATTAAAAACATTAATGAAATAGGGCCAAAGGTGGGGTACGAAATAGAAAAGCATCTCAGGCAGCTGTCCCTGTTTTACCAATGACCAGTGTCCTTCCGTGCAAAAGACTAAGGACGTTCTATGAATGCAGGATGTCATTGTACTGCCCCTATGGCTATGGAGTCACAGTGTCCATCATTCATAGTCATACTGTATTGAAGCAGAGAGCAGTACAGATGTCATCACATCAGCACTGCCCTTTACATCAGCAAAAGACAACCCCCGGGGCAGAAATGGCAGAGGGCAATAAGAAGCGTGTCACATGACTAGGCTGAAGACATCTGAAAAAGCAAATAAAAAAAAAAGAAATAATGCAAAACATGCAGCAT